TTGGAAACCACATCACTGCCCTTCCAATCATTACCATTCATATTACCATTCACCTTGTCAGATTGCAACAACCATGAATGCCTCTTAAAGCACCTGCTGCATCTATACGGACACCTACACTCCCTTTTGAAATGACCACCTATCAAACATACTTCGCAAAGCTTATGCGATTTTACAATGCTCCGACGCTTCTCCATTTCTAATCCTTTGAAGGCATTGCAGAAAATGAGCCGATGATCTCCACCACAATAAATGCAAGGAGGTCTTTTATAGCCGCTGCTCGTGGCAAAGGTGACTGCTTGATTCTTCACTCTACTCCTAGCAGCATTCTCTTGCCCACCCTTGCTCTATGGCTTGAACTCTTCATGTCCATAGACAGGGTCATTAGCTATTGTTGCCTCTTCACTAATGAATTCCACTAGATGTACAAATCTAGGGTACCTGCCTTGTTGTCTTTTAATTTCCATAGCCTTACTTCTCCATCTAAACTTGATGTAAGGCTGCAAACGTTCTACTATCTCCTTCATGCTGCTCTGCGAGTCGACTTCATGTAGCATCCCCATCTGCTCTATAGTAATGTGGCAGTCTGCCAAATCATCGGCCAATCGTTGAAGCTGAGCGGGGTTTTTTACTGCGTCCCCGAGCCTAACCGCCTTGATGACTGTTTCAGACACCAAATGTTCATTGCCAAAACGTGTGTCCAGTAAAGCTCTCGCTTGGGCATAGCCCTCCGCTGCGTCAAGTTTGGCACATCTCGCGATTACCTTTTCCGCCGCACCGGTTATGTACTGGAGAAGCCGTATAAGCTTTACCTGCGGGTCATCTGTCACTTTATCCACGCAGTCATCAAATACTTTCACGAACGTGTGATACTTCACGCGATCACCATCAAAAGGCTTGAGCTCAACTTTTAGCAGATTCATATAGCTTAAGTTAAGAAATCACTGCGACACATATGACTGTCCTTGATATCAGACCTTTTACTACCAGCTATGCTCTCGTCGTCTTCTTCTTGCTCCGGCTTGATGGGTAACTGCCGACTCTTGAGGAATGATTTTGCTTCTCTCACCACATTAACATACGCATCTTGACCCTCAAAGAAATACCCATCACTATCGTCGATATCTCCGTCGTCAGTGAGGAGCACATGACAACCCTCGTGTGCGTTAGCAAACTCGGAAAATACTCCCTTTAATCTCCGAAGTCTTGCTTCCGTCTCTTCATAATCTTCCTCTACTACCAGGCGCTTAATGATGTTACCTTCCTTGGTGAGTTCCCTCTTCCTTGCCGTTCGTAACTTCTTGCACTCCGCCATGTTGTCAAATTCTTGACGTGGATTCACCTTATGCAGTCTTAGCTCATAGACTTTTCTTGCTCATGTCCCCCCAGGCACGTATACCATTAATCATGTACTCATGTAGTTTTACTCGTGCACTCCTGCTTCATGTAGTTTTTACTCATGCATTCTTGCTTCATGTATTTTTACTCATGTCCTCTTGCTTCATGTATTTTTACTCATGTCCTCTTGCTTCATGTATTTTTACTCATGTCCTCTTGCTTCATGTATTTTTACTCATGTCCTCTTGCTTCATGTAACTTTTACTCATGACCTCTTGATTCATACA